CATGGGCTGTTCATTAAACAGCACCGCTGGGAGAGGAAGCACCCGCGTCCAGCTCACCCCGCGCAGCTCCCACAGCCATCTCCAGAGGCCACAGGCTCCCTGAAGGATCACACCAGCAACAAAGCCATCAAGGAGGAAAACACAAAAGGACAAAAACAGCAACAGACCAGACCTCACCCTCCTTAACCCAGGGCCTGCCTTGAATCCACTCCTGCGAAACCCTTTTGCAAGGGAAGCTGAAGGAGAAGGAAGATACAGCAGCCTCGCGGGGCACAGAGGCAGTGCCCCCRCCTCCTGCAAGGGGACAGTCCCCTCCACACTCATGGGACCGGTGTCCAGCTGGTCCCACACAGCCCCTGTCCCTCTCCCCATACAGATGGAAGAGAAAAGGGCCAGCCCTTGGGGAGCCGACGGCAGAGAAACCTCCGGGCAGAGCAGAGCAGGGCAGGGCACTTTCACGTTCAAGCCAAGGGCAYGCAAAGCCCAGGCCACCATCCAGGGAAAAATAAAACACACAGATTTTCTCTATCCATAGAAGTACCCTCTGGAAGTAGCACATCCTGATATGGAGGAGAAAGCATTTAACATGTTTTACAGATTGGTAAAACTAAACAGCTCCCTGGTCGACTGCTGCGAAGCTCACGCTTCTGCTCACATTTCTTTGCCCAGCTACGCATCTTTCACACCACACGTTTTAAAATCGAGGGGAAAAACCCATCTCCCCAAAGCCTCTTTGGAAGAAGCCCTACCAGAGAAGCACTCACTGCAGTGTGCAGCCACAGCAGGACACCCAAATGCACACACAGAGGGATCACCCCATTGCAGCCCCATGGAGGCCCTTCTGTGAGGAAGGGTCAGCAGGCCGGCCTATCAACAAGCCCCAAGAGCCCCACACCTGAAGGAAATGAAGCCTTAGGGAGGGCTCCAGCTGCCAAGCACACCCCGAGTGAAAGCCCCAGCTGCCAACAAGCTCCCACCATGGCAAGTGAAACAAACAAACAAACTGACGTGAGCTTTGGAAATAAAACCCTCGGGCTTTGCGAACGTGAGTACAGGTGACTGGAAAAAGAAAGAGCTCCCCTTGTTTATCACATAAAATTCTCCCTCCACTAGGATGGATATTGATTCACATGCAGATCCAAGCAGGAACACTGCCTGGCTGGCCTATCCATGTGGGAGCATCTCGGGGACCAAAGGGCAGCGGTGGCTGAACGGACCGGCCACCACGCAGCTCCCCAACCACTGCCCTCGCACAGCACCCCGGATCAGGGTAAGGCACTGGATGCTACAGCAGTTTTGGGGAGAAAAGGGGAACAGCCAACTGGAAACCGTTCCACACTTCAGCGTCACCGTTCCAGGCAGCACAGATCAAGTCATGCATCCAAAACCAAACACAAAAATCCAGGCTCTCCTTGTAGCTGTCGCCAAGAAATTCTGCTCCTCTCACCCTCCTCGCCTGCGGCCTCCGCATCCAGAGAGGGAAAACAACGATGGACATGGAGTTTTCATGGCATTTTATTTACAGGCTGCACAATACATTTTATATACAAATGGCTTAAAATAACAAAGAGTAAGCAAGCCGAAGCGTAACAGTTTTGATTACTTTAAATTAGGTTGTCTTGAAAGAACTCCTGCAATAATGTATGCTTCACCCTGATAAGCAAAGTTAGCTTGATTTTAAGGTCAAGGTCATTTGATTTCTAAATACAGAATCAGACCAGTTTTCTGGTAATTCTTTTCCTTCCTGACACCCCTCTGGGTCTGAGGAACATTTCCAACAGATCAGAGAGTGAAACAGCCGATATGTCCCCGTGTACAAAACGGTGAAACAGAACAGAGAAACGCGTGCGACCCACGTGAGCGCCTAACGTTAACTCTGGAGCGCGAGAAGCACATCGGAGATTTTCTCTATTAGAAACAGAATTCATGGTCTGAGATCTAATTTGCCTGCAGAAAAAGAGGTATCCTATGTTATTTCAATACTTCATTTTTTTTTTTTTTTTTTACTGCACAATTACCAATTCAACTGATCCAACTACAACTCGATCCGAAGCAAAACTGGCTCCAGTCACAGGTACCAACAAAAGGAGTGCCCAAGACCTCAGGAACCTGCATTACAGCACTTGTCACCTCTGCTTATAGAAAGCGTCTTACGCTACCGTGGTAAGAAGGAAATTCAACAGAGACCATGTTTTATGGAAACATAATAAAAAAGTTTGCCATTTTAAAATTCTCTTTGAAGAAATTATATTAACCTTTAAAGACACAGGTATTTTTACACCCATTCCCGCCATTCCTTCTGTTCAAGACAACGGTGATTATTAGAGATCCAGGATAAAAGCTCTTTCCTTGTCCTTTGGCTGAATTGTAGGTATAACTGTAGGAATATTGTAGGTAGCCTAAATGTTTTAAGTCATGGTCACACCAGTCCACCTGGGTTCATTTTSTTCCTCTCGGTATGGCTAAGGATCACGCCATATAAATAAGGAAACACTCGACAGTCCATGATTACAGTATTTAGCTATGGTTAAGTGGAAACACAAGCACACGACACTTACTTTTGGGAAGCAGCGTCCAGGTCTCGGCAGCGCGCTTGGGAAGCGCAGCGCAGGGAGCGCCAAACCCGCGGAGCAGGGAAGGGGCGGCAGCGACTAGAGGCCGGGATGCGGGAGGGAAACGCGGCGGCCACGCGGTGGGAAGCGCCAGGCCGGCACGGAGCCGCTCTGCCCAGCGGGATTTGTTCAGGAATGACCAGAGGGGAAAGCTCTGAGCTGACCCAAGGGCCTTGGAGTGCGCTTGGATCCGTGGATCCAAGGGAGCACAGGGCCTGCGGGCAGCACGAGCCCTGTGCCCACCTCAGCCCCGGGCTGCCCCTCGCCAGGAAATCTGCGTCTCCTCTCCCCACAGACGGTGCCACTGCCGCAGGCTGAGGGTTTCCCACGGGAAAGGGCAGCAGGAATCCCCGGGCTAACCCCGAAGGCAGCCTGCGTGCGCTCCCCGCACGCCTCGCGGCACCAGAGGCCCCTCAGTCCACAACAGCAGCGCGCGGCCGTGACCGGGACGGCTTCCACACGCTCGGAGCAGGAGATCGGTGTCTCTGCACGAAATGAGGCGACCTAAACCATCGGGATGTTTACCCCCAAAAGGGAGGCCAACAGAAGTCGTCCTGCCCTCCTTACGCTCTGTCCTGCAAGTCAAGTCATTTGGTCCTCAGTCTTAGGGACCTGCTTCTTAATCTGGACTTACCTGCCTTCTTAATGAAGCTTCACCTGCACTGACACGTGCAGTGCAGCAGAGTAACATCAGACTGCACCTTTCAGTGGCAACAACCCTACGGGCTTTGAGGGGCCTCCGCTAGATCTGCAAATCCATATTTTGTTTATCTGAATTACTTTTTCTTTCCCTATGGCTGACACTGTCCCTACGTGACACTAACAACAACTTTCACCATCAGAAAAAAAAAAAAGAAAAAGAAATCCAAGTTGTCCTTACTGGAGAAGAGCCCCTCGGCACGCGGCCGACGCGTCAATCTCCTTGGGGCCGGCTGCTCCGCTCCCGAGCTTTCCTGGAGGTTGGGAGCGGGATTCCGCCCCGCGCTTCCCTCGCGGGCACCACAGCCGGGAAGCGTCCGGCGGCGGGAGCTCCTTCCTCTCCGGGAGCTTCCCGGCTCCGTCGCGGGGCGGCTGGCCCGGAGCGACAACCAACTGCGACAAAAAGGGAACCCCAACAGCTTTGGCTTCTATGCTCAAAGTCCCAGAAGTCACTGACAAGACTACAGTGGTAATAGTGTAAGTAGAAATTTTACTTTTTAAAAAGTAATAGTTAAAACACTCAGTTACATAAGGTACCGATTTGTCAACTGGATAATCAGTTGGAAAATTGTTTCCAATATGGGCTTTAAAACATTCTTTTACGTACATGCAAAATATAACCATACCTCCTCTCTGCAGGAGAGAGACCACTTCTTGTCAAAGGGAAAAAAAAAAAGAGGAAAAAAAAAGAAAAAACATGCTGGAAGTTACGATTAATACGAGGAGTGGTTCCTGGTTGAGAGTTTTGACTACAGTCATTTTATCTGCTGCTCCAAGAGCCTCAATTCCGAAATTAGAGCTTTCTGGGGAACAGCAGGTATCAAAACGGTTAGTTGGCACAATCACAGTTTACAGAGAGCTGTCGCTACTGTGAAATGTTTTGCGGTTGCTTTTCAATACTGGTCACGTTTCCTTTGGTTCCTTTCCGTCTCGCTGTGCTAAAAGGACGACAGCGTCAGCGCCTCGCGCACGGTCACGCAGCTACTGCCGCTGACATCGGAGAAGGGAAAAAGAAGAAAAGCACAAACCAAACTATTTCATCGCTTGGTAAGGGCACAGGAAGTATAGCTCATTTGGCCGAGCAACTAGAGCAGCTCCGGGAGGGAGCCGAGGACAGGACTCATCTCTTCATGTCTCTCCTCACTTTCCTGGTTTCTTAGGAAGTTTTGGTTTGGAAACTGGCATTTCATCAGGACAAGATTCGGTCTCGAAATCACCGGCCCCCCTGAAGCCAACAGCATGAGGTTACGACCTACTGGAGTTGCCTACTATTATTTGAATTTTCAGGTTAACTACCTAGTTTTAGGTATTAATTTTCACATCAACCTATGAAGTACTTCCAAAGTTTTGCAGACCTTAAGCTTACATGTTAAGGCACTTACCATTCAAGTAAAACAGTTTCTATATAAACAAGCYTGGGCGATGGAGAGAACATTTTACCAGAACATCCATTCTTTTTTTTTTTTTTTTCCATCTTTTTGAAAGAAAAGGAAAATAACATTGACCAAATATTTATAAAATTTTGCATCAAGAGAAAGGTTGTGTTTTATTATCTGAAATGAGCACAAAGTACACCTTCCACAATAACACTGAAAGCAGTGCAAAGACTGACAGTGACCTTTGACTAAAGGTAGTTCTGTAAAAAGAAAAATACCAAATAAATCAGTGCCCTGCTTTGATTGTTGTAAAATTTTTCTTTACATAAAAGTTGGTCCAAACTTACAAAAAAAGCACAAATGTGCATAGTTCAGAAGATCTGAAAGAGTGCCATAAAAAGCTGATGTCCCTAAATTTAGCATCCACTTAAAACTGCCGAAATACAAAATAAAATTCAGAACTAGTTTGTGAACATGTACAATCAATTCATCTAGTTTCCAGACAGCATGAGTTTGAAGCATCTTTAATTTTTTCCTACTGTATGCAAGACCCTTTTCCACATAAAAATAAAGCTGTTGAATTAACATTATTCAAGTCTGTCGAAGCGCCGCTTGAAACTGCAGCTAGGAAAAAAAAAAAAAACGAACGAACAAACAAAAAGTTTTTCCAGATAAAAACGATGTGCCTGAGGAAAAACAGATACTCAATAGGGCAATCCTCTGCCTCGSCCCCTCGCCGTGGCCGCCGCCGGGGTGCTCAGGTGGCCCCGGTATCCCTGGGGGAAGCCGGGCGCCGGCGCGGGCGAGGTCCACGCGTGGCCGTGGCCGTGGCCGAGGCCGGCGGCGCCGTCGGGCAGGCTGCTGCCGTAGCTGTAGTTGTGCACCTTGGCGGGCAGGGAGCGGGCGCCGTCGGGGCCGCCGGCGGCGTCGCCGCTGCCCAGCACCGGGATGGGGCCGTGGCTGTACTCGAACCTGTGGTCCTTGTCGCCGCTGAAGAGCAGGGGCGCCGCGTTGAGGTAAACGTCTCCGTAAGCGGGGAGCGAGCCCGGGAAGGACTCGGCGAAGGCGGCCGCCGGCGGCGCCGCGCCGCCCGCGTGAGATGAAGCAGTACTGTAGTTCTCCAAGGGCTGGATATCCGAGCTCCCCAGGAAGCTCCTCCTTTCCAGCGCTCCCGACGATCCGCTCCCTATCCCGTCGCTGCTGCCGTAGCGGGCGGAGGAGAAGGAAGAGGATCCGAAGCTCTCCTTGTAGTCTGGGCCTGCCCCGTAGGCGTCTCTGGCCGCGTAATCCACAGTGGCCGGCGCCGGCTCCTCGGCCGTGGCCTGAGCTTGGTGCTGAGCGAGCAGCTGCAGAAGAGCTGCCTTCACTCCCGCGTGAGGGTCTGTTCCTGAAGAGTTACTGAGAGGCAAATGCTGGTTCTCTGTCCGATAATCAAGGTCCTCGTCGGTGAGAGGGGGAGGCTCCGGCGGCTCCGGCGGCCGCTGGTCCGGAGGCAGGATGCGCGGGCGCTCCTGCTCGGGCGTGCGGCTCACGAGCCTCATCTCGGGCGGCCTCGCCAGCTCCTCTGCACCTACACACAGGGAGAGAGGCTCTGGAATAAACCCCGAGCAGCTCCGGGACAGAAACCCCGAGAGGCTCCAGGATAGAAACCCCCAGCAGCTCCGGGATAGAAACCCCTGAGCAACTCCGGGATAAAARCCCCTGAGCAGCTCCGGGATAAAAACCGTGGCTCCGGAGTAGAAACCCTCCATATGGAGCCCAGAACGGAGCGGACTCTTTCCCCACATGTCTGCTTGCAGGCAGCTAATTAGTTAAGCTCGGAGGCAGCCGGGCAGGTTACTGAGGAGCAGGCAACAGCCTTTGCTTTAGTCCCGGGAAAGCGAGGCCGGCTTCTCCTTCAAATACCATGACCCAGGCAGTCACACGTCACAGTCCCTATAACGGAACTACTGGAGCAACAGGCACACTAGGAAGTTCAAAGAGGGAACAGAGGGATATGGAGAACAGCACCCCCCACTTGGAAAGGTCCCAAGAAGGGGACTGGTGGTCACTCTACCAGGGAACACCCAAAATCAAGGTTACAAACAAAGCAATCTAACAAACCCCTCCGGATCACACCCAAACACATCCCTAAAAACAAAATAAAAACAAACAAAACCACACTAAAACAAAACACCCAAATCCACTTCAAAATAGTCAACAGCTACAAACAACAGCGTGCAAAAGATAAGCAGCCCAAGAAAATCAAAAGGCCCAAATTTCTGAAAGCATAAAACGCCCTGTGCCAAAACGGGCTTTATCCAAAATCGGAGTCAAAAATGGTAAATTGGATCAAGGAAACTTCTAGAGAAGCCAGGCTTGTCCATCAACACCATCCCCACAGCAACAGCAACAACAGCGATGCCGATCAATCCCCCTTTTCCCCAGGGAAGCGCCAGGCCCCTCCTGCAGCACGGATGACCCGGTTCGGACAACGCGCCCATCCCGGTGGGCATCCGGCACCGATATCCATGGACAACGCACCCATCCCGGGGGGCATCCGCACACCCTGGCGTCAGGGAAGCGGCTCCCACGGCTCCGCTCGTCTCCGCGCGCTCCCCGTACCTGCGGGCGCATAGGCCGCCTTGCCGAGCGTTGGGAAAACGGGCGCCGGAGACTCCGCGTCGTCGCGGCCGGCGGAGGCCGGCGTGCCGGGCTCGGGAGGCGGCCGCGGCTGCAGCGCCGCCTCGCTCCCGGAGCCGTTCTCCTTCTCCTCCGGCGCGAACTCCTTCTGCTTCGCCTGCTGGGCCTTTATTAACTGGGACAAGAGAACAGCAAACGCGCTCTGCACGGCCGCCTGCGCGGCGTCAGTCTCGGCTTTGGGCTGCGCGGCCGGCGCCGGCGGCTGCGCGACGGGCGGCTGTTTGAGAGGCTCCTGCTCCGGCGGCGGCGGCGGCGGCGGCTGCTGCTGTTCTGACTGTTTTTCACCTGCTGACAAAATTCCAGCAGGAAGATTTATTTTATTTAGTTGCTGCTGAGTCTCTGGGTTTACCTTAATATTCAACACTTGGGCAAACTGCGCCAAACTAACACTTGTTTTAGACTGTAGCAGGTTTAGCAGGATTGCCACTTCATTCTGGTTTAACTGCTGTCCAGTGCTTGTTTTAGCTAAAGACAAAAAAGGGTTTTTTTTAAGTATTATTTAGAACTGTCATATTTCAGAAACGCAAAATTACGACTAATCTAGCACGGCTGATATCACGGGCAAAGCATGGCTTTGGACGACATGGAAATGGAGCGTTCTGACAGACTTGTTGCCTGGGGGGAGTAGCTCTAGGAAATGGAAAAGTGAGATCCGATACAAAGAAGATGACTTGCAAGGGCTGCGCGCACACACTGGGACAGATGAGAAACATGAAGCCAGGGCTCACTTCTCTACAATACGTCTAAGCTGGGGCTTAAGGCCACCTGCTTTAGGCAGCTCTAGGATTGGAATTCCCCACAAAATTCCCTGCCTTGGATGCATCGCCTCCCTCTGCTAACGCGTGGCCATCTGCACAACACATTTGCAGGCACACACTGGCCCATTCCAGGTCAGCACCTGGTTTCTAACAGCTGCTCCACTGAGCGGGCTCGKGGTGACCCCCAGGTTAGTGGCATAGATGCAAAACTGCTGGGAGGTGCCAAGGCTGAAGGACAGGAATTCAGTCACGGAGCAGCAGGGAAATGCAGGTTTGTGATCAGGCACAAGAAAATGAGTTTATTTGCCCCAGAGATGGGAGATGGTGGTGAGGCGGAGGGGGTGGAACATGAATAAGGGAGTCAGAATATCAAAGCGTTTTCTTATTTTCAARCAGCCAGTGTGTTAGTTTATTTTAGAAGAGGAGAAGCAGCAGCATGGATTTTAACATGCCCCACGAGGAGAAGACTTGGAGGAGGGAGGAAAGTTAAAGGGTGGCTGTGTGTGACTGCRGGCAGAGCTCTGGATTTCTGACCGCCTGCAACCTGTGAGCGCCTCCCTCTACCCTCCTGCACCTGCCTTTCTGCTATTGTCCCTACATTCGCTTATGGCACAGCCAAAGCCAAGCTGGAAAATGGTCATGGAGACAAAAGATTGGCTGCCAAACTGAAAATGCAACAGCAAAATTTCATGGCATTCAAATTTCAATTACTCTTCCGCCAAAGGAGGAAAAAATTGTGAAATAAACCAGTGTGATTAAAACAGAAAAAAAAAATGTACATAATAATAGAAATATGGGATATTAACAGGAAAAAAAATAAATAAATCTACCAAACAGCTTCTCTCATCTCAGTACTGGGCACCAGATGTGAACAGCATGCTGCCCCAGACTACAGCTTTTATCAAGAACTAGTGAATTGCAGAAAGGGGCAGAAGAAGCAACCCCTCCTTTGCCCATGCACACACAACACAGACCTCTCTGCCCTGCAGGACTAAGAGGAGCACAGCTGGAAACAAGGCACTGCAAAACCCACAAAATACTCCGAGTTCTTGAAGCGCTGGGAGGTGGCCACAGCCCACTGAGGTGGCTTCCAAGGATTGCAGGGATTTACAAAGCATTAACAAAAACATCCCCAGACCTTACACAAAAACCTCCTATTTGGCAAAACAGAAAAAAAAGTTATTTCTAATATTTTGTACTTCTGACTTTTGATCAGGTGTCAGGTGCACAGCTGACTGTGACTGTTGATAGAGACTTTTCTTAGAACCTCAAAGTGAAAATTCAATAGGGGAAAAAAAACCCACCCCACACCATCTACTCACTCCCTTCCTACTCTTTGGTTAGTTTCATGCCCATTTTGTGAGCAATTTGTGTGCCAGGGAGCTGGGTGGTTTCTACCACACCACAATTTCGGAGCTCCACAGAGCTCCTGCTAATCTGTAGAATATAATAAGCAGAGATCTCACATTCATGGATCAGAACATCTGCAACTGGCCCAATTTTTTGCTTGGGCTCAGAAATAAACACAATGATTTTGATTAAACCATTCACCTCTCTAGTGAGCCTCATGAAAGATTTTAAATAAACTATATTCAGGATTTCAAGAACTGCTTTGGCTAATACAGAAAGCATGTCTATGCCAGCCAGWCTGACCTCCATTGTACATTAAGTTCCTCCTTTTCTACATACAGATGTGCAGTATTGCTCTTGCTGATTCATTCACTAGTTGGTTAGTTTGCTGTGCATGCTTAGTATTAATGATTAGGAAGGTTAGCAGTCTGTTAAGAGACTGTTGGTTGTAAAACTACCAGGGAAAATAGCTGCTCCCCACGTCAGGGTCTCTGAACTTCTACACAGTTGCACTTGTGAGGAAAAAAAATCCAAGGGCTACTGAAAGCAATGACTGAAAACRCTTTAGCATCAATACAAAGAGGGCCAGAAGCCCACACCTGGGTTAGGGTGAGAAACAGGAGGGACAGGAGCAAGAGGTAATAAACTTCAGTGGTCAGAAGAACACACTTTGTAGAGAGCATTTGGAAATCTGGCCTACTGCTAACTGAAGAGCGGATTTAAGGTGGTTACTATTAGGGAACTCGCACGCCCAGAGATTTCATTCATTGTTTTYAGCTGGGCTCGTGCATCCATGACAGCGGATTTTACATCACTGAGCACAAAAAAAAAATGCTCTAAATTAAACTCAACAGGTGTTGCTGTTCTGTATGCCTTACAGGCTACTGARGAACAGTATAAGTGTGCTTCAGACTGCAAGCTAGAAAACAAGCCTGCTGAGAACGCTTAGCAGGTTGGTGATGCCTGCATAATAAAATGGCTTTATCTTCACTTCTTATTGTTTCATAAAACTGGTCTCCAAGCAAGCCACTTGGATTGAGTTTATACTTTTAATAGCTGTGCAAATTATAGAGGTAGCTGCTTCTTGTTATAGCAGTAATTTTTAAGTTAAAAGTTCAGCCCCAACAACTTGGAAAGCTGAAGACTAAGACAACATGCTGAAGGCATCCATTTTATTTGGAGCAATGATTCTATAAATCTGCTTTCTGGTCAGTTGATCGTTACCAATAAAATCCTTTCAGCCTATGGAGACTGTGATGACCTTAAGAATAGCAGCTGACCTGTGCAATCACAAAATCAGTAAAAACAAACGAAAAAAACCCTATGTAAATAAAGAATAATATCCCCAGAAAATACAGAGCAAGGTAGTTAAGAACCTTGGCACTGCCCAGCTTGAAAAATTAGGTAAAATCTAAAATGAACTACCTGGTTTCCAAAGCAAAGGCAAATCTTCTGAAACAAAGATGATTTTTTTTTTTAACTTACAAGATTGTTTCTCCTTCCAGAAGACTTCAATACTCTGAAAACAACATCTAAATTTTCTAGATGTGCAATCCAAGTAGTAGGCAATTATAAAACCCAAAAATATTACTGACCAAGTGCTACACTAGAGTTGCCCTGAGTTTTGAGTTGGGAAGAAGTTTGCATGCCTTGTGGGGTGTTGGTTCTGCTCTCGTCCATGCCTAGAGACAGGTCCTTCCTGGGGACTTTGGCTGCTGCCGTCTCATCGGTCATGCCCATCTGCTTCTGTCTCCGGCGCTTCTTGCTCCACAGCTCATGGCAGTCTTGCCACAAAGGAAGGCTGCAAAGAATGATAAAGAGATGATAAGTTTGATGATAATGACAAGAATGTTAAGTTTGGCCAGGGATGCTTTTCAGCCATAGTAAAAGAAACACTCAAATTAYACATAATATAAATTCTGCAAAGATGAGCTCCTGGTACTTGTAAATACATTAAAACGATATCCAAGGCCAGGACAATCTCCAAAGTGCTTTTCTGCATGAAAACTCTTTGCCCATTTCACAAGCATATGTTCCCTTCAGCAGATAAAGGGAACATTTATCTTGCAATGATAATCAACATTACCTTCTTGCAATTCAATTCTTACTTATGAAAAAGAAAACGATTTTTCTAACTTAGGCAACTTGTAATCTAACAAACAAATGCTGCATGCTTGCTGTAAAACAGAATAGTGAAAGTCGCTATCTAAGCAAATGAAGAAATTGCAGCATTAAGAGCTCATGCATAATAGTATCATAAATTTGAGTCCTACAAACCAGTAACGAACTGAGCTCTTCATCATCTAAAGGCCAAAGCCCAAACATATTACGTGACCTCATGTTGCTGAGATCTGAGCCAGCTCATTTCCCCAGCACTGAGAGCAAGCCATTAAAATAGACTGTCAGAGGATCTTAAAGAGACCAAATGCTTCTTGACTTCCAAAGCATAAAAAAGCTGTGCAGAAGGTTGTTTCTGGGTCTATGTTCAACTTTACTGCTGCACTCATCAGCAGTGACTTGAAAGTCAAAAAGCAGAGGCTCGTAACTCTTGTGTGACAAAATTGTAACCTGGTTGCATAAAAAGTCAGTACAGCATTAATATACAACCAGGTTAAAATGCTGAGATAGAAAAATTCCTTATTAAATCTCTAGTTAAAATGATAATATCAGAAAGTAGTGCTTTGAAGTAAAAATCCTCCATTAGCCATTGCATAAAACAGAATCTACTCAGAATGTGAATAAAATTATGAAACTACTAGTTGCTTAACACAGCTGCTGAAAGCACGTTCAGTTACCACTAAAAAGTGTTCTTCTGATAATTCCCATCAGAGCTGTTAGAAACTGCAAACAAATTTATTTAAGAGAACAATATTCTTCAAGACAAGCCTAAAGACAGCAATTCAACTTGATTGTATTTGTAGAGTAACAGATAGTARCAAACCTGCCAAAATGGAAGATTTGGGGAAGACAGCAAGGGAGATCAGTTCCTGTGTCCTCTTGTAAAAGCACCACTTCTGCTGCCGCTTGTCCACAGTAAAGGACAAGTCTTCATAATCTTACAGTATAGTCAAGTAGATTCCTTTACTACCCTCCTTAAATTAATAACAAGGTGGGGGATCATCCCCATTCTCATTCGAGGAACACAGAGCCCTGCCTCACAGGGAAAGGCAGCGAAGCAGAGCCCTCCTCTTCTCACACTACACACTAAAAACTGCCTGGGCGGACATTCCTCCTCAYCCAGCAATGTGGAAAAGGAAGGCTACTGGAAATTACACACACTGCTTCATGTGTTCCCTCCTTCCACACRCCAGCTCACAGATGGGCTGGGTTCCTGGTCAACAGCAAGTGGGAAACTTGTAGCTCCAAGTATCCTACAGTCCTTGCAATGAGCACTGGTGCTTTCTTTACCAGAACAGCTCTATTTCTTTGCTGAGAGCAGGGTGATTCAGTCAGGATAACAACCAACTTCAGAAACAGACCCACTGTAAAGCTCCTGAAAAATAAATTTCATCTTCTTCACTGATGGCAAACTGCTTATGTGCTATATGAAGTACAGGTGATTCTGAGATGTTAATGAACAGCCTATTTTTCAGATTGCTGATATTTCAATGGTGATAATATATAGTGATATTCAGGCAAGGAAAACGCCTCTGTGGTAATGAAAATTCAGGTAATGCATCAGGGCTATTAAGAACAATCTTCTCTAACACAAATCACAACAGCTTTTAATAAAATTTTCAGAGAAAACTCAAATAATTTTCCCTGTTGACAACAAATCGAAGAGTCACCAGTTGTTTCATTCACTTTTATAAGGTGCCTCCCATTTACTCAAAGACTATGTCTTTAAGTGTGTTATGTCTTGATAATTACACTGAGGGAAGAACTAAACCCACAGATTCTTTAGTGCTTTTCCATATGATTCTCAGAGGCTGTTCAAACAGGATTTGCACAGATTGAATGATTTAGTCACTGCAAACTGCAACATGCTGCACTTTAGGGGAAAGAAAAAAGGACTTTTTTCAACCCTGAAGAAGTTCATATAGACTTTTGGGTTTTTTTAATGGTACTAGCAAGGTAAAATTGTAAAAGGAAAAAGGTAAAGTCACAAATAAATTTCCTTTTCACAAGGTAAAAGGAAAGTCACAAATTCTGGGAAAGAAAGCAAACCATCAAACAGGTCTCAAACAGACACTCGTAGCCACTGCTAACATGATTCMAGAGCCACTAAACTGCAGCAGTCCTTTTGGGGAAGAACCCTYGTTACCCATTTCCTGCAATGGTCATTAAACGCACTGAGGTTCCTGCTGTGCCCCAGCAAGCTGGGCTCTCATTCTGCAGAGGCAAGATGCAGACGCTCCACCAAAAAGGAAGGTACTCACTCCGGGGGAGGCATCTTGGCCGGCTCCACGTCCCGCAAGAACTCGCACTGCAGAGCTTGCTCGGCCGTGCAGCGCTTGCTGGGGTCCAAGGCGAGCATGTAATCRAAGAGGTCCAGGGCAGCTGGTGGGATGCTGCAACAACAACAGCAACAGCAACGTTGGCAGAAGGGCCACGTGAGCGTTTGAGACCTCGTGCCTTCCCGCAACCTTCTACCACCTACGCCCACCCACCTCCACACTGCTCATTGAAAGGGGAGATAAAAAAAAATGTGTACACACACACACACACACACACACATATCATTCCTCAGCTAACCTGGATACCTGGATCTTAATAAAACCCACACAGCTTGAGCTGCATAAAAGGCGAGAACATGCCAAAGTTGACAGAAACTTCACCTTTTAGTACCAGTGCAAGTGTTACTGGGGGTTGAGAGGGGTGGGGATGGGATTTTCTTGAGCAATCCTTAGGAAAGCACAGTGCTAGGCAATGGTATTTCTTTAATTTCTTTAGCTTTGGGTTTG